TTGGATAATTACATCTTTATAGATGTAATTAAGTTAAGGATCTTGTGATGCAATCATCTGGATTGGGTTGGGTCCTAAATACTTTGGCAAGTGTTTATAAAGGAAGAGAAGGAAAAACACAGGCACAGGAGGGAAGGCCTTGTGATAACAGAGGTAGAGAGGGGAGTGATGCAGCCCAAGCCAAGGAATGACAGGAGCTATCAGAAGCTGGAAAGGGCAAGGAAGTCTCTCCTAGAGCTGTCAGAGGGAGTGTGATTCTGCCAATACCTTGACTTCAGATTTCTGGCTTCTAGAACTGTGAGAGAATAAATTCCAGTTGTTTTTAGCCATAAAAGGTAAGGCAATTTGTTTCAGCAGCTCTATGAAACTAACATAGGGGACTTGGAGCACACTCTCCCTACTGCTGCGGGCCACTGGGCCAAGCCTTCCTCTTCCCTCAATGTCCTGGGTGATGTAGTCCCTCCTTCCATCATTCAATCCTCCTGTAAATGGCCATAGATCCAGTATATAAGAATGGTTAGAAAGCAGGCCCTTCTTCAACACTTCATAGCTAGAGAGAGAGATAATGGCATTAAAAGGACATTATAATATTTCAGTGTATGGGCTGAATTGTGTCTCCCCAATATTCATATGTTGAACCATATCCCTTGTACCTCAGAATGTGACAGAATTTGGAGACAGGGTCTTTAAAGAGGTGACTAAATTAAAAGGAGATCATGAGGGTGGGCCTTAATCCAACATGATTGGTGTCCTTATAAGAAGAGGAGAATAGCACACAGACACACACAGGTGAAGGACCATGTGGAGACATTGGAGAAGAAGGCCATCTATAAACTAGAGAGAGAGGCTTAAGGAGAAACCAATATGGATGTAGACAGAAGACATGATGAGTATCCAGGTAGGCAAGTGGGATACATCACAGAGATAGGTAACATTGAGAGTTCATGGACCTTCCTGAGATCATGTCACACCCAAAAGATTTGTGTAGAGTTTTGCATATTCATAAGTATCTAGCACCCATGGTTAGGGATGCTAATATATATATATATATATATATATATATATATATATATATATATTTTTTTTTTTTTTTTTTTTTTTTTTTTTTTTAAAAAGGCATTGGATCGAGAGGCCTAATTCCTAGCTTATTCCCAATTCTCAGGCAGCCTTGAGCAAGTTCCTGAATTTCTCTGTTTTCAATTTTCTTGTCATAGCTTTACAATTCTGGTGCTTCTCTGATTAATAGCACTGAATCACAGAGCCCACAAGCTCATAGGGGCACCTAAAAAATAGTTTTGAATAAAATTTGGACTTGATGGTGTTCCCAGCACCTTAATTAAAAAGAAAAGTGACCAGAATATAAATCTTTGTTCAAACCTGCTCATTGTTCCATTTTTGTACACTCCCTTGGTTCCGTGAAAGGACAATGGGGCACTGCAGTAGGCTTAGACTTGCTTCCAAGGACGTGCGTTCACATGTCCTTATGACTGACATTAAAGCAGGTGTTCTTATCCACTATGGAACAGGAAGACCCTTTCAGGGCTCCAGCTATTTCCAAACATCTAAATGTGCAAGTAGTCCATCCAGGTAGGCCAGCCACACAAACTTTTTTATTGGAAACTATGTTGACACACCTTCAACTCAAACTTTGTGTTGAATCCATATGTCTCCCCATTATAAATAGCTAGATATACAAACACACAATATATAAATCAATATCATACTTGCTAACTTTCTCCAGAAATGTGTCTGTATGAAACCAAGGATCCAAGTATTTGACCCTATCCAGACAGTTGAATGAAAAATAACTTAAAAATTCACATTCTTTTTATACACAATGCATCTATATCTAAACACCTGGGCTAATCTAGAAAGGAAGCTTGGTGGAGGTCTGTTTGGTCCTTCTCTACAGGATAGATGGAAATTCTAATTGGCTTATCCATCACCTTACACATTGCTTTGCTCCTGATATCCTCCTCCATACATCTTATTACTCTTCACGATGAAATCCAAGTTCCCTAGTTTGCCATGAAAGACTGTCTTCCTAGTTCCTGGCCTCACTGTCTGATCTGTGCCCACCACCACCTCTCCAGCCTCATCTGCTGTCATCTCACCTCCCTCTCTCGCCCCAGTCCAGGCACACTGCCTCCTTATTCCCTTACACACCAGTACTCGATCCCATTGCGGGAAGATGAATGAAGTCTCCCAAACTCATCCATGTCCTAATTCTCGGGATCCATGAATGTTACTTTTTGTGGTGGAAAGGACTTTGCAGATGTGATTAAATTAAGACTCTTAAAATAGGAAGGATGCCCTGGATGATCCTGGTGGGCCAAAACTAGTCACCAGCTCCTTATGAGAGGGCCCCAGGAGGGTTAGGTCAGATGGAAGCAGGAGGGTGGGGAGATGGTGGCCTGTTGGCATGTGAGGATGAGGAGGGAAAAGAGCAGATTCTCCCCAGAACACAGCCCTACTGACTCCTTGATTTTAGCTCCATGAAACTTAATTTGATTCCTGCCCTCCAGGACTGTAAGAGATTAATTTGTGTTGTGCTAGAAGCTAATTCCTGCATGTCAGCAGGGCTGAATCATCTGGAAATGGCTGATGGCATTTCTCCAAATTGGAAAAGGATGCATAAATGATTGCTTGCTGCTAGACAGCTGAGGGCATTTCAATCTACATGTTATTGCCTCCTACTGGCCAAACACCTGAACAGCCGAAGGCAATTCCTCCAATCTGACAATGGATTCTGTATAATAAACCCTGGCCTTGGATATGTATATCTACCTTGCTTTAGGACAATTTGTGTTAATAAAAAGCAAAGGGTCCAGAGAGACAAAAGAACTTGGTTTCTTAAGCCAAGCTCTTCTGGCCCCCCAAACACCTTTCAAAATTATGTTTTGTCTCTGGACTTTTGATTAATTTGCACACTGTGCTTCTCAGATTCCTGAACCGCTTCTAGATGCTGGATTAAGACAACTGGCAGTGTTGTTTCAAGCCACTAAGTTTGTGATAGTTTGTTGCAGCAGCAATAGGAAAATAATCCACCCTATAAAGATTTATGGTTTTTATGGCACAACTACCATTGGGCATATTAGATATTTACTTTTTTATTTATCCATCAGTTGTCTCTGCCACTAGAACATGAAGAGCATGGGAGCTAGGACTTTGTTTTCTTCATGGTTATAAATCCAGGGCCTGACACGATAACTATCTGCTGAATGAATTAATAAAGGATATATTTTAATTATTAATAAGTATTTGGCCAACACCCTGAAATGGCTGACCCTTGGTACAAGGTTGGTTGGACCTCGTTACAAGCCTGTGTGACATTTTCAATGACTGGTCAGTGTAATTTAGGAATCACACATTGCTCTCCTGCTGTTTTTCCTGTCACCATTGTCAGTTGGAGAACAGGCAGGAACATAAACAAATGAGTACCGGAGTAGACACAGCTGATCTGGTTTATGCTGGAACAGCCCAGGAGAAGAAACCCCAGGACTGTACACTAGGGAGGTGGTGCACACACCTAAGCCCCATCATATTTGGGGGTTCCACACACACTCTGGGTTGCTGGGAGGAGGAGGAGAAGCATGAGCAGGTCACACTCAGATTCTCCACTCTCATGCAAGCAGAACAGTCCGTTTTACCCATTTTCATATATTGTATTTACATGCAACATAATAAGATCTACAGAGGGAATGAATGGCATAGAAGCAGGGATTCTAATTCCCCTCTTTTTGCAAGTTCTGCTGACTATCCTTAAAAAGGTGGCCACACACAGGAGCTGGGGTCTATGGTGCATTCTGTAACATATTGGTTAACATAATTCTATTAAAAAGAATGGAAACTGCCTAGCTGGTTTTGCTCAGTGGTTAAAGTGTTGACCTATGAACCAGGAGGTCATGGTTTGATTCCCAGTCAGGGAACATGCCCTGGCTGCAGGATTAATCCCCAGTAGGGCATGTGCAGGAGGCAGCCCATCAATGATTTTCTCTCATCATTGAAGTTTCTACCTCTCTCTCCCCCTTCCTTCCTCTCTGAAATTAATAAAAATATATTTTTAAAATATATAGTAATATTACTAATATCTTGCCTTCATATGTAAAAAACATGTAAATATGAATATTGTGGGGGGATGAATGTTGAGAGAGTGTTTTCCATTGTAATTAATTCCTGGAGTGTTTTTTATGTTTTAATAATATTCATAGCCATAATCTTTATCACATATCAGTCTGATACAAAGATTGCCAAAGTCCTTTGCTTAAATATTGTAAGTGTTAAACATTAACACTGATAATTAGTGTCTTACTACTACAGCACTGGTTTTACTTAATCAGGTACCAAAAGGGCAAGCTCAGTGACAGAGGTAACATTTATTGACCATTTATCTGAAGCACCTATAACAGTAGAAACGTTAAGAATGAAACTCCAGCACCAGTCGGAGGATTTGACTTTCTCTCACAAGCTTTGGTTTTGTTTTTGAAAATCATGCTGATGAATGAAATGGAATAATGTACTTCAGGTCTGTCACAAAGTAGCGATTTCAGCAGCAATTTCTGCTCACACCTGTAGATCAACTCTTAAAAAACGCTTTTCCTATAGTATATAGTAGTCAATGATTAGAGACTCATTTTAAATTCATGTGCAGCCGAAACCGGTTTGGCTCAATGGATAGAGCATCGGCTTGTGAACTGAAGGGTCCCAAGTTCAATTCCGGTCAAGGGCATATACCTTGGTTTTGGGCATATCCCCAGTAGGGGTGTGCAGGAATCAGCTGATCGATGTTTCTCTCTCAATCTTTCTAACTATCTATCCTTTTCTCTTCTTCTCTGTAAAAAATCAATAAAATATATTTTAAAAAAATAAAACTAAATTCACGTTGCAGTCCTGCAACTCTGAGCCTTCCCGGGTGAACCCTGGAATGACGGATTTAATTAGTCTTACTCTTGATTACATATTGAGATCCCAGGACCCTGACACCACGCATCCTTTCCTGGTCACTCAGAGCAAAATGAAGCATCAATTCTGCCACCTGCGAGAGCAGATGCTCCTGACAGAGGCAGCCTTACCTTCACAAAGAGGCTGATCTCGGGGTTCATGGGAGCTGATTCTTCTTCTTCTTCCAAATCATTGGCAGCAGAATAGCAGGTGAGGGAATATTCACTGGCCTTCTGGACAGTGAAGCTTGAAGGAGAAGGCAGGCTCCCCTCCATCATGCTTCTGTTCTCCTGTGGCTCTTCTGGGCTCATCTCCTGGTCCTGAATTGGTGAGTATAATTCGCTTCTGTTCTCCTGTGGCTCTTCTGGGCTCGTCTCCTGGTACTGAATTGGTGAGTATAATTCTTCCATTGAAACGTTCCCAACCTCCTGGGGCTCATCTGGTTGAGGATCCTGGGCTGCGGGACATATCGCATAAGGCTGGGGGTAGCCTTCTTCTTCTGATTGGGAAAAAGCCAAGCTGTTTTCCTCACCTCCGACAGCATCAACTGATACAGATTCATATTCATGGGTTTCCAGGTCAGTGGCATATAAATTGTTTCCTGAGCTCCTGTCTTCATGGATGTTGTGATAAAGGGGACCTTCATTTTCTTCTGGCTGGTCTAGAGCCTCATACATGGTCTCTTTCTGGACTGTGTCATAAGTGGTGCTAATGTCTTCATCATTCATGTTTACGTATTTGAGGGATCCTTTTGCAAGCAGATCTGAGTAGAACACAAATAGGTAAAGGAATAGAAGATGCTGCACTCCCTTGCAAAAGAGTCAACAGGCTTTTGAAACACAGAAATTAGCAGCCACTATCAGTGACAGGTCTCTAACAATCATTTACCAGAGACATTAATCAGCAAAGCACAAGTCCATTGGCACAAGATAAAGCTTACACACTCAGTTAACTATTTCATTCCTAAGGGCATTTCAACTAACTCTGAGGTTTTCCTTATTATCAGTAATTTCAATTCTTTGGATCTACTAAAGGTTGAATTGAATTTCTTCCATGTCCACATTAAAATTCTGAATATTTCACTACTTGTCACTAAAAGAAGCTCCCTCTTCCAATTGCCCTCAAATGTTGACAATAGTCAAGACGTCCCTACAATTCAATTCTTCATAATGGTATTATTATCTAATAGTATTTATAGCTGAATTCAAAACAAAACAGTTATTTGAGTATTGATACCCAATGATAAATGAGTTATGGGTACTCCAGTTGGTAATAAACTCTATTTTCATTTCTTATCTGGAAATAGCACGAGGTGATTAAGTGACAAAAGGAAAAAAAAAAAAGATGATGCTCTGGTCTATGGACACATCAGTACAGACCACCAAAAGGAAGTGTCTCCAAGATGTATGGCTTTGGGTTTTATTTTTCCCTCTTCAATCTGGGTAGTCATCACACTCAGCAAACATTCACTAAGATTTTATTATAAACAGGATACTGAACTGAGCACTAAACATGTGTGTTAGAAGATATGTTCTCTGTTATTAAGGGACTACTAAGTATAGTAAGAAGGCCAGAAAGATAAACTAAAGCTCTAATGGACACAGAATAAACTATTCAAGGTTTACTTCTCGCAACTGGCCCAGGTCTGGCGTAAGCAGCAGAGAACTGTGTACAAATTTGCCTAGAAGATGTCATATACAGATGTCAGATACGGGCTCTTTGTTTTTCAATCTGCTCCTCTGTTCTGCTAATTCCTACTTCCCATCACCACATCACATGCATCTTTCCATTTGAAGTGATGACCCAGATGAACTGTATAAGAACATCAATGTCTAGAAACCATGTGAAAATTGAAAAGCAATGCAAGGTTTCAAAGCTTTTGGTGAACATTGTGACAAAACTCTGTTGTATCATTAGCTCCAATATTGTATCCAAAAATCTTCTGGAATGAACTAGAATTATGGAGTTTGGGGATTCTAGAATTCTAATACAGAATATAGAATTCTCACCAAAACCAGTTTAGCTCAGTGGATAGAGAGTTGGCCTGCAGACTGAAGGGTCCCGGGTTTGATTCTGGTCAAGGACATGTATCTTGGCTGCGGGAACATCCCTGGTGGGGAGGTGTATAGGAGGCAGCAATTGTTCGATGTTTCTCTCTCATCGATGTTTCTAGCTCTATATACCTCTCTCTTCCTCTCTGTAAAAATCAATAAAATATATATATTTTTTAAAAGAATATAGAATTCTAACCCAAAGAATAGCTAAGAGGAGAAATGCCGGAAGCAGACTATTGACACTAGCCCCTCATCTTATTGAAAACTGAGGTTTGGCTGAAACCGGTTTGGCTCAGTGGTAGAGCGTCGGTCTGTGGACTGAAGGGTCCCAGGTTCGATTCTGGTCAAGGGCATGTACGTTGGTTGCGGGCACATCCCCAGTAGGGGGTGTACAAGAGGCAGCTGGTAGATGTTTCTCTCTCATCGACGTTTCTAACTCTCTATCTCTCTCCCTTCCTCTCTGTAAAAAATCAATAAAATATATTTTTAAAAAAGAAAAGAAAAGAAAAGAAAACTGAGGTTTGATGGATTCAAATACCTGATAACTTACTATAGGTTCCAGAACCAGGTGTTTGTAACTGATGGAAGTCCCAGCTCAACTCCTCCTCATAATTTTAGCACTGGGAAAGACCCAAGAGACCATTCAGCCTGACATTTTATTTTATATTTGAGAAAAGCCTGAAACCTTGAAAGGGGAAGTGAGCGTTCCAAGTCCACACAGAAGTAAGGATCTGACTTTAGCTTCAGCTTCCTAATATCCAGCTCGGCAGTCTTCCTGTTACTCTTGCTCTTACTTTAAGTAAGCATTTTCCAACTTTTTTTCATGATCACACCCTTACCTTCCCCGCTCCTGTCGTCCCCCCCAATCCTTTCTAGATATTTTCCCCATGAACTTAAAATACTGCAAATATACTAGATATGTTTACATACCGTATATAATCTGTGCTTTATACATAGAGAAAGATTTTTGTTCCCCAAGAACCAATTTCCATCCCTTTGTGTGACATTATTTTTTCTTTTTAACCCTCACCTGAGGATATGTTCATTGATTATAGAGAGACAGGAAGGGCAAGAGACTAAGAGAAACACCAATGTGAGAGAGAAACATTGGTTACCTCCAGTACACATCCTGACTGGAGTCCAGCCAGCATTGGTGTAGAGAACAATGCTCCAACCAATGGAGTGAATCTCCGGGCCCGATGACATTGCTCTTAAAAAAAAATGTTTTTATTGATTTCAGAGAGAGGAAGGGAGAAGGAGACAGAAACATTAAGGAGAGAGAAACATCAATTGGCTGCCTTCTGCACACCCCCTACTAGGAATCAAGCCTGCAACCCGGGCAGGTGCCCTGATGTGGAATGGAACCTGCAACTTCCTGGCGCTTGGGATGACACTCAACTAACTAAGCCACACCAGTCAAGCACGACATTGTTCTTTTTAAGAATGTGTGCTTTAATTGCACAAACACTTTCAGTGGGTAACTATAATCAGACACTAAGTTATATGCCACTCTGCACTATTACCAAAGTATAGTTTTCTACAGCCTGTGCATATGCACACAGCCTGCTATGAAGTTCTCACCATGGTGATGACCCAGTGGGGCCACAGGGTTGGTGAAACTAAGGGCCCAAGATCACACAGACATTTTATCAAATTAGTCCCCTTTTATCCCTTCTCAGGACACACCCGTCATGACTTAGTTACTGGCTGTAACATGAAACTAGTCATCCTGTTACAATGCAAGTCAGGTCACTCCACTCCTGCTTAACTCCCATTTCTCTCAGTAAAAGCCAAATTCCTTACAATGACCCACAAGGCCCTACAAAATCTACACCAGCATTTCAATGCCTGTTTTCCCTCCACTTGCTTCCCTGGCTTCAGATGACTTGGCCTCCTTGCTATGCCTGGAACATGCCAGAATGCTCCCATATTAGGATCTTTGTATTGGCTGTTCCCCCTGCTCAGAATGCATTTCCTCTGGATATCTGTATAGTCAATTCCCCAGACTCCTCTATGTTATTTCTTATACCTCCTCTTCTCAGTGTCACCACTCTGCTGTTTTGTTTAATATGACAACCTATCTCAACTCTCATCTGTTACTCCCTCCTCATTATTGAAAACTCTGCCTGAGTTTTTGTTACTCTTTCCATAACACCTATCACCTTCCAATGAGATATACACATTACAGTAGTTATTATGTCCAGAGTTTATATTCTGCCCTCTCCCACTTCTATATAAACCTCAAATGGACACAGGTTTCTGTCTGCTTTTTCATCATGATATGAAGCACCTGACCCATATTAGATATTCAATACATATCTGTTCAATGACTTTTTATAATGATTTGATATCTTTGCCCTCCACTGACATGTAAGTTTCATGAGAACAAAGCCTATGTTCATTTGCCCATCACTGTTTACCTAAAGTCTAGCAGATATAACATATAATAGGTGCTATTCAATATTTGTTTTATAAACAAGTAAAATGAAAGAGGTGTATCTAGAATTCATGTCCTCTTATTCCAGGTCTACTGTGTTTCCACATTTATATGTATAATCATAATCTTATCTCCCTACTCTATTATCAATTCCTTCAGGAAGAAAACTGATAAGTGGATCTTCCACAGAATTTTGTATAAAGCAAGTTGGCTTGTTTACTTGTAAAAGGAAGAGTTCACCAACCAATTTATGAATCAAAAATATTTTGAGGGCTCCATATGTCTGTTGCTTATAACCCAGGGAAGGAGATAAGACATGTATTCATTAGTTTGAGAAGTTCTGAGACTGCTTGTGTGCTTTTGGGATTTAAGTCTGTCCATGTTTGGAAACTTCCAGTGGGCCCAAGCTTATACAGGAAGATGTCTAAGAATTATCAGTCCACTCCCTTTCTATGCCCCTGATTCTATTATATTCACCAGTTTATTCTGTTTCTCAGAATCTGAGTCCATCAATGTATCATTCAGATGCAAAAGGCCATTTTTTCATGTTTCTATGCAAAAAGAAATTTACTCACTCCCAAAATAATTTCATAGTTTTAATGGGGACTTGGGGGCTAAGGGGAGCCATCATATTAAGTAGCACCATTTCACTGGCCCCACCCCAAATTCCTCTCACCTCCTCTCTCCCTTCCTTTCTCTCGCTTTGACAGGAACCATCAGTTCTTCCAGCTTCTCCCACAGAGCCTTTTTCAGACAAGCTCCACTCACAATTGGTTTGGGGGAAGGGTTCTTCTCACCTTCCTTCCCAAATAGGCTTTCCAAGAACTTCTTCAGTGTCCTCCCTGAGAGAATTTTAATGGACTGGATGGTCTCCATCTTATTGCACTTATGTTCAGATTTGGTGACTCCAAATCTGAACATTAGTGTCCTGGTCACACTTTTGGGACGCTGAAGACCCAGTGGTCATGATTTCCAAACAGAAGCTGTATCTCTGAATGGCTTGTTCTTTAAAGCATGGGAATGGCTTTGCTCCCAGGAAGATGAGCCCAGTGAGAGCCCCTTAGACTAGGGGCAAGCGGTGAGCCTTGTTCTGCATGGATCTCCCTCCTCATAGTTGTTCTTATCAGTGTTTGCTGATGATGAAGAAGGGGAAGGAGGATAGGTCAAAAATGGCTGTTTGAAAAGGGCTTGGAATCTGTTCAACATTTCAAGGTGAGGGATGATGAAAATTATAGGT